ATACAAAACTGAACGGGCCAGCCAAGGCGATTGTCGATCAACTTGCAGAATTCCCCCCGCTCTAGCCGTCTTAATCTTTGGGATAAGAGCGAGCTATTGCGTTTCGGCGATAATAAATCACGATATGGGGATGCAAACCCAACTTTCTTCTTGCTCTTCTGGATATCAGTCTGTCTGCGCAACTCATTGTCGGCCGTTAGTTGTGTTTACTGCCAACCGAGCCTTTTGTCTCACCTTGGTACTTTCACAATCGAGGCCTTCCACTGCACAAATGATGGAGGGTTCGTAGGTGGGAAAGGGCTGGCCTTGAAGGCGAGCTCAAAGGAAACATCATCGTCAAAGATTTGATTGTCAGTACTCAGTCGCAGTCGAGTCGATTCCAAGTGAACAGTGCGGCAGCCACATTTAGCGTAGGTCTGTAACTGAGTGTAGAGGACTTGGTTCAGGTACCCTGAGTATTTGATGTCGTTATCGTCCTGGTATTCCTCCGTATATAGCGGCTCCGTCTCGTCCACCGTGGAACAGTCGGAAATTAGTCGCAAGAGAGCATTGTATTCCGGGCTGTGCCGGACAAAATGTGTCAGGCTTTCCTGTGTCTCTCTGATCAGAGTCTGTCTAATATTGCTCGTTGAATCTTTATAACTGCGGATTCTGCCCAGAGCCTGAAAGCGATCGGCTTCATTCCGCGACGTCTGAGTGGTGGGTTAGTGCACAACGTCAGGATTTCGCGTGTGAGAAGACCCACTGAGCACGCTTTATCTATAATCTTGAATATCTTCAACAATCTTTGTCGCGCAAGGGTTGTCTCGCTGATAGCTGGGATCTGCTGAGATAGAACAAACAGCTCGCATCCCAAAGTGCCGTAAGCGGTATTACGGGTCTGTTGCCCTATGAGAATGACTTGGTTGCTGATCCACGGCAGAACCTGACAGCCCAAGTCCAATACATCGTCCTCGTCCATGAGGCATGATAGAGTTGTACTTGTGCGACATAAGAGCGAGGATGTTTTGTTGAAACAGTCAGCGGGTGCGGGGTAATTATCCAGCACGTGTTGAGCTAAGCCCGAATCGAGAGAGCAGAGCCATAAGTGGTGTTGGTCGAAACCCCCCATTTCATAGTCCCCAAGTTATGGCAGACCAGCCTTCCATCCATGAGGTCACCCTGGCCTGTTACCAGGTCTTTCGAGACTCGGCTGCTGTTCCTGCTCTCCAAGAATGGGCAGAGAATTGCTTAGCCGACTTGAAGCTGTGGGCAAATGGAGCAGGGGCCTTGAAAGTCGGAAAGACATCCCTTGATGCTAGGCTGGCCTCGAATCCGGACGCAAAGGTTTTCGTGGTAAATCTATTAGGAATGCTGCAAGCCTTTGTAGAGCAGTGCGTTGAGACAGGTATAGCCAAAACATCCCTTTGAGCAGAAAGGATCAGGAATGACTTCTTACTAGGAGCGGACGGGCACGGCGATGGGTTGGATCAAGCCATGCAGGATGTAAAGTCCATCATAGGCCAATTGAGTCGAATCATGACTTCCATTCGCAAGGCTGGCATCAATGCACGAATCCAAAAGGCCGATGCTTCTTACGACCCTGGCCATCCGCAGGTCGAGGCTTTAAAAAGCCATTTGCAGCTGCTGTTACTGTCAAGACCCAGATATAATGGCACTTTACAGGCAGAGACTTCCTCGCACGGAGTGCTATTGGTCTCGTCCATAGATGGCACTATAGTGTCTGAGCCACGGTCTTTGACTTTTATCCAGCGACGACTCATTGAGGCAAACCTGAAGCGGAGAAACCGATTCTTGTATGCTCAGCGTCACGCCATCAAGCTGTCCGACAGGGAACCCGCCCCAGCAAAGTCAATACCCACTTCTCGAAAAACGCCACAGCCACTCATTCTCAATCCCAACGCAAGATCAACGGACGCGCCTAAACTTCCCACAGTGTATAGCACAACGACTGCAACCGAAGTACAAGATCCAATCCCGTTTCCGACCCGAGATAGTGCCCAACCAGCGACTACTATCATATCTGCAATCAGCTCTCGTGTGACGTATCCCAAGCCTCCCCAACTGAGACCCGATCAAAATGTCTTCCAATGTCCGTGCTGTTGCCAGACATTGCCAGCTTCCATGAGCAGAGGGAGTCAGTGGAAGTATGTATTGATTCCATGAGCATCCGGATGAATGCTAATCATATGGCCATCCAGAAAACATCTCTCCAGAGATATTCTTCCCTACACATGTATTCTCGAAGATTGTCCTCGCCCCGAGAGAGATTACCATACGAAGGATCTTTGGCTGTCGCACATGATCACAGACCATGGCGGCTTTCCCCATTGGGTTTGCCTAGCCTGCAATGACTCGAGCGAGCGACCAACGTTTTACGAAGAATCGGCATTCACTGAACACTTAGATCAAACGCACTCAACGGGTATCAAACCCCAGCACATACAGATGTTGGTCTCAGCCTGGCGGCGGAAAACACCGATCACAATTGGATCATGTCCGCTCTGTGGGTTGAAAGACCTGGATGCCGATGCCGTTTTGAACCATGTTGCCGAGCACCTGCATTCATTCTCGCTCAAATCCTTACCATGGGCTCCAGGAGACTCTGAGTCTAATGGGGACTCATATGGAGGCTATTACGAAGATCATCCGTATTTTGACACAGCAAAATCGGAAGATACAGGAAGATCGGAAGATACTGGGAGTGTGGGATCAGGATCTATTGAGTCATCTGAGCCAGGGAGCCTCTTGGACTATCTGCCTATCAAGGAATACGACGAGGAGCCAACAGAAAAGAACCAATTGACAGAACAGAAGATTCACCGTCTTTCGGAAGATCCAAGTGGTAGCAAGGATATGATGGGTGTGTTTTTAGCTAGCATCGAGAACGAACATCATGTAACCGCACCCTTTCAAACGCCACCATCGCCAGAAAGCCCTGATAACGAGCTGCCTGTGGACGGGGAAGAAGAAGGCCGAGTCTCCCAATCCCATCATCTCCCATCATTATCACTCACAGTACCTACAGATTCAGATGATGATGACTCTTCGGCCGTTCGACCGCCACTGCCAGCCCCATCTGATAGCGAACCCTCCACAGATGGAGAGGATGAACACCAGGATTCTGCATCGCATAATCTTCCATCATTATCACTCACAGGACCTACAGATTCTGATGATGAGTCTACACCCCCCGGCTTCCAGTCATCATCAGTGGCCGAGGAAAGGCTCCTGTCACACGGTCTGTCACGATATATTGATCTCGATGCAACTCCGCTCCCCAGAGCTCAGAAGGCTGAAGCTGCCATAAACGCCGGAGCAGTAGCTGCTGGATTCTTATCAATTTCTCAGATGGTTCCTAGCCAATTCAGTCTCCCACAGGATATTACTGCCGCAGGTGAATTGCCGAGTACCCCTCTTGTCCTTTATAAGGGAAACCATTTTCACGATTCATTGGACATGCTCTTTCGGGTGTGTTTCGACTGGGTTTCCGATTTTTTGGAACCCTTCAGTTTTGTGTTATGTCGCTCACTCGGTAACCTGCATCCCGAAAATGATCGTGATCGATTCCGCGATGCCATACTGAATGGATCCGACGTTGATGCGCTTCTTGCTGACCCTATTCACCGGCAAAATATCTTCATGTCCGTTACGATGACTATGATCTGGGAATTCATATTTACGCGATATCTATTCGGCTTGGAACGGCCAATACGCTCCGGAATCAAGCGGCTAGAGAAGGAATTAGGGCAGACTCTGCCACAGGAAGCAGTCCATCGCTGGCGAGCCACGACGCTGACTTTATTAGCCCAGGATACTGAGTTGGAACAGCAGCAAGAGCGTGATATTCAAGCTATTTCAATTACTATTATCGATACATTGATGTCTATACTATCGGAGAGAAGTCCATATAAGCCTCGATTGCGCGAGGAGCTCGACGAGGTATTACGCCTTGCTGTGCAACTCTCTGTTGAAATGCGTACGCAATTGGCAGAATACATTATGCTACCCCCTCTTCAGCCAGAGTATGACAGCGAAGGCAACTTGACAAATCAGATCTTCTTCAACGCCTCGTTGATGCATGATGATAGTGGCGTGTATGCATCAGATGAACAGGCACAAAGTGAACAGGCTGTTGTTCGCTCAGTTCTTTTCCCTTTGGTAGTGAGAAAGGGCGATGACGATGGCAAAGGAGACGAAGAGGTGATTGTTTATCCAGCTCAGGTCGTGGTATCAGATACGTCAGACAGTGGTAGACCTCACCCGCCGCCCTCTCATGACACAAGAGATTTTGATGCTGCAAACGAAGAGGCGGATTATGATTCGGACAGGACTTCGGCAGGTAGCGCTCCAAGTCAAGTGTCGGTCGATGTTAGAGGAGTGCCACTTTAGTTGCTGCTTTAGCTAATAATGAAGCTGACATGTGCGCGCAAAGCACTTCTTACTTCTACAAACACCAAATTTTGTATCACCCTCGAAGTAGTCGTTTCTTGGCTATATTCTGATAGTAGCAGACATCTTATCTTAAGCCTCCATGAAGATCTTTTTTCTTTATTTTTTCTTCCTCTTCTTCTTCCTCTTCTTTTTCCTCTTCTTCTTCCTCTTCTTCTTCCTCTTCTTCTTCCTCTTCTTCTTCCTCTTCTTCTTCCTCTTCTTCTTTCCTTTGTTTTTCTACTTCTTTTTTCCCTTCTATGGGAACTGTACCCTACAGAAGTCATTGGTTAACCAATCAATCTTATTTCTGGGTGAAAAGAAGCCCTGTCTTTCCACATACATGACTGTGTCTCAATGGCGTCGTATCAGTCTTGTTTCAAACCAGAAACGTATCATGCGGAATCAGGAGCACTCCATAGTTGACTCTGATCAATAGGTAATAAGGATATAAGCCTTGGAAAATTATTTGAAAGATTCTTATTCGTCAATAAAAATATATCAATCATACAATCCTATAAGCTAATACCCATACATGCTCATATAAACATCATAAAACATCAACCCCCTCATGCAGATACAGCTCCCCATCCACCTCCACCAGCAGTGTTGATTACAATGCGATCATGCGTCTTCATAGACACCGTGTTCTTTCCTCCAATGTTTACGACGCGCTCCACGCCCGTGTCCACATCCTTCGTAACCCAGAGGTTCATTCCGGGCTGTGCGTCCTCGCCGCCCTCGAGTCCGTACGGGCGGTATACACGCCTCTCAGAAAGAATAGACACTTCCATTGGCGAGAGGAACTCGATGTCTCTAACCACACCGTCACCACCAGGGTTCTTTCCCTTGCCACCGGATCCCTCCCGAAGAGTGAACTGTCGGAGCAGCGTTGGGTAGCGCTTCTCTAGAATCTCCGGGTCGGTGATACGCGTGTTGGTCATGTGTACGTGGATACCGGACTCTCCGCTCCAAGTGGGACCAGCACCGCTGCCTCCGGCGATGGTCTCGTAGTAGCCGAAACCAGGGATAGTCTCGCCGGTTTTGGGGTCGCGCTTGGAGTTGGTGCCGAAGGTCAGGTTGTTGCAGCATCCTTGGGAAGCGGCACAGGCGCGGAAGGCTTTCAGCACGACGTCGGTGATGCGTTGAGAGGTTACCACGTTTCCACCGACCACGGCGGCGGACTTGGTGGGTGAGAGGATGCTAGGGGAGGGAACTTGGATGTCGATAGGTGCCAAGCATCCTTGGTTGAGGGGCATGTCTGCGTTGATCATGCAGCGCAAGCAGTAGATGATGGCTGAGTGAGTGATGGCGATGGGTGCGTTCCATCCACCGTATACCTCCGGGCCAGTACCGTCAAAGTCGAATAGAGCGGAACCATCCTCGCCGTTAATAGTGACCTTCAGCTTAATGGGTGTGCCGTCATCCATATAGTCTACTGCCTCCAATGGTTGACCGCCGAACTTCTTGTGCAGATCTTTGAGAAGGTTGCGAACTGCTGTCTCAGCTGTAGCCTGAATGGCATACATGTACTTTTGAACCGTCTCAACGCCGTATTCCGCAAACAACGCTTGGATCAGCGAGATACCGCGGGTATTGGCTGCAATTTGTGCTTTCAGGTCAGACAGGTTATCGCTGACGCATCTAGCTCCGGAGCAGCCTGGGTACTGAGCCGGCTTGTGGACCAACAGCTCCATCATACGCTCCTCATCAAAGACACCATTGCTGACAATTTTGTCTCCCTCAATTGCAGCACCCTCCTGCCAGAGCTCAGTCGACTTCGGTGGCATTGAACCAGGGAGGATACCGCCAATGTCCGCGTGGTGGCCACGGGAAGCCACGTAGAACATGATCTCGGTGCCACCCGGTCGGTCGAAGACAGGTGTGATGACCTATCATTGTTAGCCGGGTCAAGATGAGGAGTGTTAGAGAAGTTGACTTACAGTGATGTCAGGCAAATGTGTACCACCACTACTAGGGTGGTTTGCGACTAACACATCACCGTCACGCAGATTACCGAGCCACTTCTGGTGCTGGTAGCGGACCGCAAATTGCATGGATCCAAGATGCACCGGAACGTGCGGCGCGTTAGCAACAAGACCGCCATCAGGAGAGAATAGAGCGCAAGAAAAGTCAAGACGCTCCTTGATGTTAGTAGAGACAGAAGTTTTCTGGAGCGTGCGGCCCATCTGTTCGGCAATAGACATGAACCGATGGCCGAAGATACTGAGCCGGATGGGGTCAATACCCGAGGAACCACCCTCAACACCATTGACATGAGGGAGCTCCTCGAGGTCGATGACTATGCAGGTCTCCAGAATACTAGCGACGGCATTCGGAGCAACCACGACGGTTTGTGTCTCGTCGATGATGACGGCAGGGCCGTGCACACGACTATTCTTCTCGAGCTTGTTCAATAGATACACAGGTGTATCGATCCGCTCAGTGTACCCGTCAAAGTATGCTTTCGAGGTGTTGTCCGGACCTCCACTGACATCCTTCAGGGTAGCCTCCCTCAGCTGTACGAGGGGGCTCTTCTCCGTCCGAACCTTTGAAGAGGCAATTGTGCGAACACGAATATCATCAACTAGAACCGATCTGTCAGAGTTGAATCCGAATTCTCTGCGGTGCCTGGCACGGAACTGCTCGAGGAAATCGGAGTTATCCTCAGGCTTTAGGATCATTAGGCTGGTATCTGAACCCTCGTAGCGCAGGTTAAGATACAAATCGTGGCGGACTTGGTCGGCCGAAAAGCCTTGCTCCTGCATGTCTTCAGTAGACGCCTTGATCATGTCCTCGAAGCGCTTGTCAAGTGTGGACTGAGAGGTCGAGTACTCCGTAGAGACCGGCTCCTGCGATTCCTTAACCACCTCAGCCAGCGCCAAACCATACGCCGAAAGGACAGATGAGAACTTGTGGATGATAACGCGGGAAATTCCCAAGGACGCTGCAACGGTACACGCGTGCTGACCACCAGCACCGCCAAAGCATGCCAGGTGGTGGGATGCAGTTTCGAAACCGCGAGCTTCCGTCAGGTTGCGAATGGGGCGGGCCATCGACTCATCCGCAACCTTCAAGAAACCTAGTGCCACCTCCTCCGCTGTGAACTCAGATTGGCCCTTTTCTTTTCTCTCGGTATTGATCTTTTGCGTCAGCTCGTTGAACAGCTTAGTCGTGATCTCAATGTCAAGAGGCTGGTCTTCATTAGGTCCAAAGATGTGAGGGAAGTATTCCGGGAGCAGTCGGCCGAGGAACAGGTTGGCGTCGGTAACGGTCAGAGGACCGCCTTTGCGGTAGCAGGCAGGGCCCGGATGAGCTGACGCCGATTCAGGACCGACGTAGAAGAGACCGTTGCGCCACGACAAAATAGAACCACCGCCGGCAGCGACAGTGTTGATGTCGAGCTGAGGAGACTGAATGAGAACACCGGCCACCTTGGATCCGAAGACGTGCTCGAGGTGACCGTCAAATCGCGACACATCGGTTGATGTGCCTCCCATATCGAACCCGATCACTGGGGTCTTCTCCTGAGGATCCCAGCTCGTCGCAGCAAAACCAACCACACCGGCAGCAGGGCCCGACAGGATCGCTTTCAGCCCGCTGAATCTGCGAAAGTCGACCAGCCCACCGTCGGACTGCATAAACTCAAATCGGCATTCGTGCTGCTTCTCGAGCCCGCCCTCGAAGCTAGCCGAAATCGAGTCAATGTAGGTTTTGATGACAGGTGTCAGATAAGCATCTGCGGCCGCAGACATGCCTCGGGGAACCACCTTGATCATGGGCTGGAGTTTGGATGACAAGGTGACCGAGAAGCCCATGCTTTCAGCCAGCTCCCCGATGAGGCGCTCGTGCTCAGGATAGGCGAACGAGTGGACGAGAGCAACCGAAAGGGACTGGTAACCCTTCTCCTTCAACTGTTGTAATACCGGGCGCACCTCCTCAATGTCTAGTTCTTGTACCACCCGGAACTTTTCACCTGTTGTTCCCTCCACTATGCGAGCATTCTGAAAGCAGTCCTTGTCGGCGAGGGGGTGGCATGGTACGACACGCTCGTTAATTTCAACCACTTGCTCAGGCAAAACTCCGGGTCTAGCCATTGAGAGATCGAAGATGTTTGGTCGTGATTGGTCGCCAATCTTCAGTAGGTCACGGAAGCCCTTGGTGGTGAGGAGCACGGACCGCGCACCCTTACGCTCCAGCAGTGCATTTGTAGCGACTGTGGTTCCCATGCGCAAGCTCCCAATGCGATCAAGTTTCAAGGGCTGGCCGCGCGGGTGTGACTCGCCGGTGACGAGCTCAAGAATCTGGCGAATTCCCTCCGTCGGAGCATCTTGGTAGTGACCGGGGTCGACGGAAAGTAGTTTGAGAATGATGTCGGGGCGACCCGGGACCACGGCGTGGACGTCAGTGAAGGTACCACCGCGATCGATGGAGATGGTGATCTTGTCTGACCCGGGCATGATGAAGGTTAGGGTGAAGAAGGATGAAGAGGAGAGGGGGAGGAGTGAGCAGAACAAGAAGAAAAGGGACAAGGGTATCAATGGCTGTTTTCAACTACAAGATGGATGGAGGGGCATTCCCCAGGTTAAAATAACTGGGGGATGCGATAAGCCATTCCGCTGTCGTCACCGGACCTCCCTCTATGTCCGCAATCGTTCATTGGTTGTAGATCACGTGTCGGCCCGGTGCACCCCCGGATCGGGGCAGCCGGACCGATCAGACCGAATGCGATAACGGATGCTGATAACATCCCAGATAAGGAACAGTTCTTATGATCCTGGCTCTTGGAGATGGAATATAGTGGGAATTGAATCTGTGTCATACTTCTATGTGTCAGTGGGATATATGGCCTGGTGCTAGGAGAATTGTCAAGTTACTGTATACAACAGGGATAAGTCACACCCCATAATATTCACTGCAGTACTAGTACTAGTTGTGGTGGTACACGGACTGCGTTGTGACAGAATATGTATCCATTCGACACAGCAGTTTCACGCACGACGAAACACCACGTTGACTCAACAGTATTAAGTACGAACATGGAAGACAAGCGATAAAAAATGTGCAACGAAATGTTCAATTAACCGTTCAATCTGGTCGATGTTAAATATACTAGAGGGTATTTCATTTCTTCAAAGTATTCTCAATCCAATCAGTATCCATATCAATGTCAATCTGGCCCAGAACCTCCTCCCACAGCCCAGGATCGTCGTTGACATCAAAGTTAAACGAGATTTCCTGCATCGAGGGGATGTCTTGCTGTGGGGTCCATGTAGCCTCCCCCGTCGGGTGATCGACTGCATTCTGTGACGGCGTTGGCTGTTGTGTGCTACTGGGAGTAACGGGCACACCCGCAGCGTCTCCTTGCTTGGAGCTCTTCTGACCAATAGACGATCGTAATTCAAGAAGGAGGGAGTGACGAGCAGCCAGGTTGGTGTTGCCCCGGTCAGCCATGCTGCGAAGCAAATTAATCGATATTTCCATCGCTCGGGCATTAGCAGCGTTGTATGGGAATGCGGCATTGACCATCACAAGTAAAAGTGCGGCAGAAAAGATGTACTCTCCGTCTAGATAGCCGTATGTGGCTGAACTTGGTGTTAGCGAAATGATCCAAGACATTTCAAAATGAATGACGAGTAGACGTACCAACCAAATTGTGCTTCGCTGCTGCATCCATTATAAGGGTGGTGGCTCGAGCTGCTGCCACACAGCTCTCAATCACCGCCACGGTGTTCTGCGATAGCCCTTCCTTCCAGTCCACGGTCGCAGACCCTTTATCTTCAGCATCGAGCCGGCGTTGAATCACATAGAAGACTAAAGGCCGTGCGGTCATGTTGACACAGGAATAAAAGTGCAAGAATATCGAGACCGACTCCCGATTAATGTGAGTACTTAGGGTGGAGAAGTCGATACGGAGACGATCAGGTATTCGTCGCAGCCAGTCCGAAAGCTCATCTGTAATACTCTGCACAGACACAAGCAAGTTGGAGCCAGACCGTGGCTTCTTGCGATAGATTTCTTCGTAACATGTCAATGGAGACTCTGCTTGCGGGAATGATGAGTTGGTCACATACCTTCGCCTATCCTACCCAATATCCGAGACAACTGTGTATAGTAGGTGAGGACGACCGATGGCCAAGGGACCACCTCGGTTGCGCTCTACTTAATGTTAGAAGAAACTTAGTGATAAAATGCTCACTACTTACCGTGGGCTGCGGCCATGTTGTCCCTATATCCTCATCGTGGATCGTGATCGGATTACCAGATTTGACGGACAGAAGTCTAGGAGGTGTTAGCAATTACTATGGGGGAGAGGAACGTGAGCCTTACCGATCCAGACTATACACCGACCACCAAGCCCGCCGACGACGATTCCGATCTTCTTCACTAACCTCTGGGTCAAGGACCTCCTGGTGAAGACCCAGTGAAATAGCCATGCGAAGAGCAAGGCCGATCTGGATAACCTGCATTAGCGGGGGAAATCGTCATATGAATTGAACTTACATAAAGAAATGCAGCGTCTCGACGATTGAGATTCTGCATATAATACGCAACGTAGCAAAGAACCTCCACAAAGAAGATAGAGCCTTCCTCGTGAATGTCGGGTAAGAAGCGCAACGCATGTTTGAAATATTTGAACCCAGGAGGCCCGTCATCTCCGGACCACTGGTTCACCGAATACATCAGACCGAAGGCTATGACCAGTAACACCTGGCAGTATACTAGACACGACTCTCGATTGAGTGCATCGGGAGGTTGGCTGTAAACGAAGTGGAGCCGCTCTTCGAAATCATGGGGCTGAATCAAGGAAAATATTGTCCCAATATAGACATACTGTACCCAGTAGAGTCGTTTGGCGTACTCGAAGGGGGGCAGTTGGGGTAGAACCCGAGGAGCTGAGCGACGCAGAGACAAAGGATCATCATACAATGGGCGCATATCCAATGCTAAATTGGTTGATGAGGGATTTAGGCGTTTCGCCAAATGGGTGGTGGAAGATGCTCCAACATAATCTGTCTATTGATCAGCTCAGCTACGCAGGTATCGGGACATCAAGACAAGCTCACGATGCTCTCCTGACCGATTCAAGAAGACATGACCGGTCTCATTGTACCACCAGTCATCTCGCTCGAGAGGAGGCACTTCCACATTATTGTAGGAACTGCTCTGGATGGCTGCAGGGGGATTAGGGAGAGATGGAGGGCGACCTTCATCTGCAGGAATAAATAAATCAGACAATGCGACAAATAATCATTTCAAGAAGGATTGGATTGCATACATACCTCGACGGCTGGCCTGAGCCTGAGCGCGAAGTTGATGAAAGTAGCTAAAGAATGTTGGTCACCTGCTCAGGCATCCATTGCGTTCCTCTCAGGCTTCCAGGCTCACCTTTCGGGAATCGAGACGCGCTTCTCAGCTTCCGAGTAGACACACTTATGGCCCACCTCTGCGCATGCAGCACATGGATAAGGTGGGTTGCCAGCACACCGGGTCTTTCTGTTGCGGCATCGGTTACACCTACAAAGGGATATTAGCTGACTAGTCTAGAACCCTAGCATATTATTGCTGACGCACGCGACCATTGACCGTCTCGCGTTGGGTTGGTGCTCTGTAGCTCGCTGCTGCAGCCCACCTCGTCCTTTTCTCTGAGCCATGGCAGAACGAACTGCTATTGATAGATCACAATCACCATGTCGCACACTCTATTGCAGGGGATTGGTGCTGTCCGAAGCACTTTAGGCTTGCTGTTGCGGATGCTGTCCACGGCTGGAGATGCCGATCAACGTCCACAGTACAGAGTATAGCGGGGATGAGAGGGACCAGACACGTGGAATGGATCTCGCCAGGTTTAGAGAAAGAATGGCTGGGATACACACTGATCCAACAACAGTGATGGTAGCTCGGTCTCCACCCAATAAGTGTACCTGTGGTGGACGGTAGGCAGTTGGCGCCCAAGCTGGAAGGCTGCTCAATTCCCGCGCGATCGGCCTCTCCACGTTCAAGCGTGAGATGGACTTAAGGCAGGCTAATGTGCAGGCAGAACTAAATGCCACCCCTCAATAGGTTGCTATCTTCATCCAATCCTACGAGTTCATGGAAGGTGCTGATGACTTTGCTGTGGTCAGACGACTTATCTGCCGTTACATTGCGCGACCCCACACTGTGCTGTGTTGCAAGCCAAATAATGCTGGAAGCAGAGTGGCCGCACCTCGGCCCGACCGACAACGGACCCCCCCTGAGGGGCACCAATTCTTATCACGTAATTACTTGGTGCCATTATTCACACCCAGGCACTGCCGGTTTAAAGTTCTGGCCTGAATCCACTCGTGTGCGGGTGCCTGGGGACCTTTTAGACCTGTCGCGCTTCTGTGAGCCCATGACTTCACTGCCGGCCTGCTCCGATTCATTTTCTCGACTCGGGATATCGCGGCTGTGGGAAATGGAAGATGATGATGTGTTTATCCCGACAGAGTGTCATCATCAGTCGATATAACCAAAACAGCGTCGCGTCCACAGGAACAGAAAATGAACCAGCATTCTAGCTTCCGCCATGGGAGTAGGCGCCGTTGCAGTTATACTGCTCGCCTTGCTGACATTCCTTCGCGTCCTCCGCAATTATAGCCGTCTACGTGCTATCCCTGGTCCTTCAGCCGCTGGATGGTCGGACTTTTGGCGCATATATGTTCGCAATAAATCTCACTACGGTCGGCGTCTGTCAGGTCTTCATCGAGAATATGGCACGGTTGTGCGGTTGGGGCCGCGTTTCCTCAGTGTCGCAGATGGGTCGATTATAGGCCGTCTAGACCAGGGGGTCGATGAGGGGGTACGTGTTAAGCTTGTATTCGAACGACATTTGCTAATTGTCACAGTCACCAGAACCCCACTATAGAAATGCGATACCCTCGAATAGCGTCACCGTCAGCCTGGAGAATATTCAGACAACGCATTCTACCTGGGAATGCTCTCATGGTTTACCGGAGTACGAAGGAGTAATCGACCCGTCCACGAAACAACTCATCAAAGCGATACGAAGATACCGTGTCTTGGATATAACCTCGTCCTTGCGCATATTTGCGACGACGTTCATAAATCAGCTTACCACCGGGGGTTTGTTGCAGGCGAGGCATGACAACATGGGAAGAGGCAGCCGATGGTTGAGTATGTTCTCGACAATCGAATTTATGCTCATCCGAAGCCCGGTGACGGCACTGAAGAGAGATCGCGGACGTCGACTAGCAACATGTGCGACATTGCCAGTGGTAGCGCCTACTGTTTCCGTCGAAGGGGGCGATGCAGTTAGCTCGAATAGCCCTTTGCCCATGCAACAACCACCGCGCGACGGAAGCCGGACGAGGCCAAATTCTAATGGTGCCCGTGGAGGGCACAGTGTTGCCGGCACATTCGTGTCGTTATTTTACTTTCTACTGAGGCACCAGGAGTTTCTTGATAGACTTAGGTTTGAGATAGACACTGCATTCGGTGTTGGATCGCTGTCAGACATACCCCGATGGAGAGAACTAAATAGGCTGTCCTACCTTGATGCCGTTCTAAAAGAGACTATGCGGTTGTCGGTGAACTTCGAAGAGGAGATCAAGGCACCAGTAGATGGTGTTATTGTTGCAGGCTACCCAATTTGCAAGAACACAATCCTAATGTGGAACTCCCATGTTCTACACTTCGACAATGAGACGTATGGGAATGATGTTCATTCGTTTCAACCTGAACGATGGCTTTTGGCAGATGCGCAACAGCGAAGCCGAATGGAGCAGGGATTGATATCCTTCAACCGCTGCGTGCGCGACCATCCAGAAGCCCAGGTGGCCTGGCTGGAATTGAAGAAAGTCGTTGTGTTAATCCTTATGAAGTTCAATGTGAGTATATAGAGAATGTATACTGCAAGCTCATCACTGATTAGGAACTGCAAATAGACACAGCTTCTTCATGCCGCAGAGCCTAGCATTGACGCCGACGACAATTTTGCTCCGCCGTCTCTTATGGTTGGGTTCACCCCAAGGGTTCCTGGATATTGAGGTACCAGCTTGGCAACGCATAACTCGTGCATTCTTCTTTTTGCTTTCCAGACCATTGGTGTCGTTTCGCCATCTTTGGATTTCTACTTCTTTAGCTAAGATACCCAGATAAAGCAATTGCCATACAATCTTTACCTCCGTTCACAGCATTACTACCTATCCTATGTGATATCCCATAAAGACACACATAACAGAATACCACAAAGAGATACTCTATACCAAGCTTCTAATACGACGAGCACTCCCTACAAGCAATGCCAAGACCCGGGACGGCGCGTACAATCGCGAAGCGCCCGCTTACAGGGCTCATCTACTCCTACATTGGCATCCATCCAACTAATAACCCCAGCAAAACTCCGAGATAATACTCATAAACTCCATATTGCACTACTATACTACCGAGCATAAAATTACCTCCAAACCACAACCTCTCCCCAACACCACATCCCACCCACACCACCGCAGGATAGCTCCCCTACTCATTCTCATCGACGCCAATCTCCGTCGTCTTGAACTTCCTCGCCGATATCTTTCTCTTGAAGAGAATATCCGCCTCACGATACGACCGATGCTTCAACTCCGGCAATCCAAAGTACGCTCCAACCCACACCACCAGCGCCGTGCACCCCCAGACGTACCCGCACTTGCCTGCCAGGTTCCATCCCGTGGTATTCAGCATCCGCGACGAGAGATAAATCATCGGGATTTCAGTGATGTAGTACGCGGACCGTCCGACGGCTGTACTCAAAGCGCGGAGTCGCACCGACGATGTCTCGGAGATAATGGTGTACGAGATGGGACCTTGTGCGCCGGCGTAGACCACGGAGATGATCACGCCGAGACAGGCTTGTGCGTAGTTCGTCTTGTGGGTCTGTGGTACGGAGGCGATGATACCGAGGATGAAGAGGAAGGTGATGTTCGTGGCGGTGCCGTAGAGGAAGACGGTGCGTCGGCGGAACCACGAAGTCAGGACCCAGGAGACGGCGTTGGCGACGAATTGGAGACAGGTGGTGATGAGGTTCAACTGGAAGGATTTGTCGGCGGAGATACCGGCCTCTTTATACATATACAAGTCAGAGAGAGATTCGGCCGTGAGGAAAGTTCAGGATGTAGAATGGGGGACTCACGCTCGAAGAAATAAGTGGCCTGGTTCGCAATCAAGTTACCCGCAAAGTTCTGCGACGCATAGATGAGACAAGTGATGATTGTTCGTCTGCGATCGGTACCCTTCCAGAGATCGAGAAGCGTGGGATTACCGCCCGTTTCCTCTTCGATCTTGACGGTACGCTCGATCATGGCCAGGGATTGGTGGGCTTGTTCTTCGGTTTTGGCGCCCAGGCGTTTGATGGATTTTAGGGCCTCTTCTTTGCGGCCGCGACGGATGAGCCACCAAGGGGACTCGGGGGCGAAGAAGAGGAGGACCATGAGGGGGGTCTAGAGATGATTGATCGTTAGTGGTTGTTGAGTTACGGCATTGGAGGAGAGGAGTATACCGGGAAGATCCACTGCAATGCGAGTGGTGCGCGCCATTCCCACTCCGTAGTGAGAGAGTTATAACCGTAGGTGGCGCCCGCAACGATGATGGAACCAATGGACCAACTCATTTGCAGGGTGGCCGTGACTGCAGCGCGAAGGGGCAGAGGGACGACTTCACTGGCGTAGGCCGGGGAGTTGGCGATGAAGAAACCCCATGGGACACCTTCTAGGGCTTGACCGACCACGAGGAGGGTGAGTGAGTTCGCCTATACAGAACGGTGTTAGTTGAGGTGGAATTGACATTCATGTAAGCAGGCCACCTACGAAGAACGAGATAAAAATCGTCGCATTCATGAGAACAAGACCCAGCATAGTCGTCCAGCGGTATCCGATCTTGTTAGTGATCGGCCCGGCCAGATACACACCGACGAAGGCACCGCATTGGCCAGACTGAAATAGAGCACTTTGCCATTTGGTCGGGATGGCCCAGACACCGGGTGAGGTTTCGACGCCGAAGACCTTGGAGAAGTGATCGAGTGCGACGAAGTTGGTGTTGAGGAACATGTCGAAGGATTCCATGACCTACGAGAATTAGTATGTCAGCACATGGCAATTAATGTGGTGAATGAATGTAGATAGACTCACAATGGTGAAGCACATGAGGAAGGCCCAGAAACAAGCCCAGGGGTACTGCTTCGCAGCCTCCCAGACACCCATCTGATGCTCGTAATTCTCGCCATCGAAGGCTTCATGCATCAGATCGGGGTTATCCAGAACCTCAGACTGGTGGATGTCCACCTTCTCGGTCTGAGGCTTCTCATCCCGCTGCTCGGCGACGCTTTCAGCCGCCATCTTGTCGGATATCAGGGCTCAACCACCGAGTGACTTAGGAAGAGCTACGAGAGGTGGGGAAAGAAAGTCTCAGAGAGGGGAAGAAAAGAAAAGCATCGGCCAAGAGGGCGGGATGAAGGTCTTAAATTGACCTGACTTGATTATTCTACCCCATGTAACTGTGTGACCTGGAAAGTGAGTGCCGCCCGGCGTTTTCCCCCTTTCCACCACAGCCCAGGAATAAGCAACCCAGCAAGGGAGCAAGTGAAAATGCAGGCCCTCGACCAAAAAAATACGAGCTAAATGAACTCAAATTGAGACAAGTCCAGGTCACTAACGTGGTTGAACATGTGGTTGCTTGTCTCCACAGAATTACCCCATTGGTCCGGGACGAGCAGGGCTAATGTACGGAGTTAGTAGTTAAGGACCACCAACATTACCCAGCGGTGACCAGGTTTGCGGGGGAAATGCCAATTGGAGATGCGGGGCCCCAGATGACTCCTGAGATTCCCGCATGGACCTCGATTTCTGTCATCCTCGGCTGGTGGTTGGCGGAATATCTCACGCCACAGCGCGTTGGGATTGGTTGTGAAGCCTTTAGCTAGGGGGCGGCCAGGTTACAAGCCAGCCCTTTTGGTGTCACTCAAATCCTCGCCATAGGAGGCCTTGCTTGATTTTAGCTAATTCCGGGCAAGATATTAACCACGCGACACGTGTGACAGGATTAGTTCAGTTCTTTGACGTTGGATAATGACATGGAGTGATTAAGTCTTTGCGTTGGTCAAATGGTTGTAATAATGAATGATCTGTAGGTAAAATGCAGCGATGCTAAGAATATACCAAGCCCTGCCAAGTACTCATTAAAGCCCCCTACCGTTTTCTAGGCTTTTCTGCCGAACCCTCGGCTATGTGCAGAGAAAAGCATTTTCAGTCCCAGTGATGATTTCACCTTTTGGAACTGCTACCTAAATAAGCCACTTGTGATACATTGACCAAGCTTTGATTTACGCGTGACTTGGTGGTTGCCACTAGCTATATTCAGATGGTCACATTTATTGGTTGCAGTAGTAGCTGATTCCCCGTGGATAAGCAAGCCGCGGCTGGCTGGATTGGATACAACGCCACCGTTCGTTCCTGTAAATCCTGGGCTTCGTACACAGGGTATTCCAGTCACCAGTAAGCCATACCTCTGTGTCACCAAATGTCGATAGTTGCGAAGAAGACATAGGTAATGTGTCATTGTTCCTTCCCTAACACCTGTCTCGAAACCTAAGTCAACCCAAATACTCAAGTTAATCAACAATACTCGAAGAACAGCAGTATCTAACCGATCACCGTCCAGACCCGGCTAGGCGCGCCTCATTAGGCAAGGATGAAGCCTATCCGGCCTAGTAGGTGATATAGGATCCCGCCACCTGCGGACTAGCGCAAACGTAACACAGACCTTAGAAGTCACCACCAACCACAAGTCAATCCAGAGACACTGCATTGCGGACATGTGAATTTAACCGAAGCTTTTAACAGCCCGATGCTGGCGCCGCATTCTGACAGCTCAACGGTAGCTTACCCCAGCTCCACGTGCGTGGGCTTGCGGCTTTAGGAAGCTTTCGAAGCTACTGTACGTCCTCTTTTTCCATTATTGCGCCACCGTACCATGGGCATAAGGCGTTATCTTCCGCGTAGCGGAGGACAGAATCGTGCGTCAGTGCCTTGGTATGAGCTGAGCTTCGTCGGGCTCAGCATACCCTTGTCGCTTTTCGCACCCTACAAACCAGATTCATAGCATGAGCGCTCCGACCGAATGATAGATTATATCCTGCCTGTAGATGGATAGTGCACCTCGTTCAAGCAATTTCCCAGGTTTCATAACATTCTTCGGCTAATATCTGATGTAAATTAGTCAAGTTTATTAGACATTTTGCGTAATCGAAGTCTGACCTCTCAATATGGTCTGATTGGACCGAAATAAATTATCTCTACTTTCCAGAGGCGCTACTGAGAAAGTTGCGTTGCTGATGCTTTGCTTTCGGTTCAATAGGGCTAGAATGGTTGGTGAGCTCACGTGGCTGTTATAGTTCACCAAAGTCCAGTATATGTAAAGCCCTGTAAGGAATCAGAGAGTGAGTATGTCAGCTGACGGAAGAGCTTTCATTCTGACACTGCATGCGACAAGCTCATTGCGGTCTGGATTGCTATTGTGCGAATAGTGATTGATATAATACACCGTTGTATTACCAGCGAAGTGACATGTCTTCATAGGGCAGAATCTCCAGTTGGCAGATGGCATTCATGCCTTGGGCATGAAACATAACATCGAACATCCGCAAGGGATGACCATTTCTGCATCCTTCAACTACCTCAATAGCCTAGACATACGCAACTTTTATAATCAACCCTCATCTTTCACTTACGAATCTCACATAGCTCTCATGTCCAAGGATTTAGACGTTAAACCATCGGAGGTTGAATTCCTCGAAACGCTAAAGGAGAGCAAATACTCTGTGGTATTCAAAGTGCGTTTCCAGGAGACGCTATGTGTCATGAAAGTGGTAAGCCAGCACCCCCATTAATATACTACAATCTCACTTAATTAAAGTACCACGATCGGGAGCCAAACGAACTTGACCCTCCCGACCGCATAGTCAACCTCTTCATCTCCGAATCCACCGCCTATCATCGACTAGAATCCAAAGGCCTATGCCAGAGGGGCGTTATCCCAAACTTCTACGGGACAATCAGGAAGATCCAACCGGCTGATTGGCCAAATCTCCACATGTTCCTTAACGACAAACTACCGCCAAATGCTGTCCTAATTGAGTATATTCCAAACCTGAAGCACATTGATCTATCCAACTACTCACCACAACGCCTGGCAAAACTCCGTGAGATTCTCGACGATATTCACGCAGCGGGGGTTCTTCATGCTGATCCGAAGCCGCGTAATATGATGGTTTCTCTAGCGGAGGAGGAGGAGGAGGAGGAGGAGGAGGAGGAGAGGGTACTCTGGATCGACTTTGACTCTGCACAGACGTTTTCAGAGTGTGGTGATCTCTCGCCGAGACAACGAAGATGGTTCGATCAGGAGGATGAGATGATGGATTATTTTGTGGATGCGTTGGTAAGGCTTCGTGGTCTGGTTGTTTACTGCTTTTGTTTGCTGACTGTGAACAGGCGAGAGATTTCGATGAAGGGAAGTTGGATCGCACGATTTCGTACTATTATGAATGGTACGTGTAGATAGAAAAGGTCCTACTTGGGCTACACTGGCAGTATGAGAAATTGTTGCTCTGAATAGTATCTTGAATATATTCACTAGTAGGAGTATTCACGTTGAATGGTTGGTCTTTAGAACTATGTCAGTATCATCTTCCCAGTGGAACACAAGCATCGGAGATTCTAAATCTAATATTATATGGCCTTGCGATATGCCTCTGCTCCTGCAGCACGCTTATTTTACGAAAACAGCAGACCGGCAAGATGAGGTAGTATGCTGTTTCGGAAAAATACGGAATGAGTGTGTTTACTAGTATCACGTGTAGCCCAACTCGGGCTATACCGGAAGTAACAAAGCGCACGCATACACTGAAACATGACATCCTTGCAAGTAGTAAACGTGATATAATTAGTTACAGGGCAGTTTCTTTGTCATTGATTCATTCATATCTTCTTCATTATATATGTCTTAGTAATTTCATCACATCTCAATGAAACTGTGCTGTGTCCAGTCTGGCCAACGCTATGGGTATCAACGTGAAAGAGTGCTATTTTTGGTAGTCGTGTGGTGGCCATTCTTCATGCAGCCCAGGCGTCCTTCAGCACCTTCTGCCCCTGAGCCAGTGTTTTCGCGGGAACCTCCCCCAGCCATTGTGGCTCGAGACGATCAAGGTTCGCCTCGATCTCCCAGGCGCGGCCACCCTCGACATACATCGAGGTACCGTTGAGTGAGTCGTCCACGAGCACGCCAGCAGCCACCTGGGCCACCTGGAGAGGGGAGCTGATGGGAAGGCCCTCCTCCTCCCATCGGTCGCAGAGCTTCTTTGTTACAGCCGGGTGAGTCTGGGTCATCCAGGGGCAGATGGTGTTGATACGGAGGTTGTGCTTGTAAGGGGAGATGAAGTAGGGGCGCAGGGATCGCATTAGGCCTTGCACGCCGTGCTTGGCTGCTTGGTAAACAGACACACCCGGGGTTTCCTTGAAACCTGCGGCGCAAGAGAATAATGTAATGGAGCGGTCTACTCCAGGGCCACGGTTGTGGCGGAGGTAGGCACCAGCGAGACGAACGACGTAGAGGGTCCCAGTGAGGTTGACGTCAAGGTCTCTGGTGGATGGGGGCTTTTCATTGTTAGCAGGATCTCTCAGTAGGTAAGTTGTGAGGTAGCTTACCTCGCGCACAGCCTGGAGGCTTAGGGCATGGTCAAACCAGTTCTCCTTTGGTTCCATACTGCCAGCAGTAACAACGACATGGTCAATGCGCTTGTAGGTCTTAAATGTGAAGTCGAAGAGATTAAGCACCGATTGGTAGTCCGTGATATCAGTCTCTTGGAAAGAGGAGCGCGGAGGCTTCGGGGGGCCAGAAGGGTCCCAGTAGACAGGCCATTTATCACGGCACTTCTGGCTCAAGAGGGCACCGGCGGTAGAATCAATGTCGCCAATGATCACGTAGGCGTTGTTCTCACAGCAAAGCTCTACAAGACTGGCGCCGATGCCATTGGAACCTCCTATTTCAGGCATACGTTAGCATTGGCGATGTGAGAATCGCAAGACTCGTTTCGGGAACCACGTACCCACAATGAGAACAACCTTTTCCTCCAAGGCTTCCCGGGTGATGTCAGGATGGAATTGGGTGATAGGGATGGCCGAATTGGAGGACTGAACAGGCTCAGTGGGGGCGATCATTGTGATAGGTTCGATAAGGAGAAGAAATAATTTGATACGAACTAGAATAGAGAAGGCAGGATGGAAGCATGGATTGAGGCCAACAGCTGGGGTTCGAGGGGCCTTTTAAGCGGCACGACGGACGGATTGACTCCTAGAAGACCTGTCTTTAGCATCTTTAGCACGCCTCTCCCTACCTTGCAGGGGACGAAAACATGTGGTCTTAAGCCAATGAAGATGCAGGAAGGAGAGCTGCTTGCAATTTGGGACTTCTGGGCCTGGTGGGGTCTGTATCGGGAAAGTGTAACTGTCGATGAGAGAGCGGGATGAGATAGGCGGCGCAGCTGCACCAAAATCGGATTTCGTTGGACGATGCTGAGGGGAAATCCACCATAAGTTTGATTCTCCGCCTGCCAGACGTCTTATCCACAGTGGAACAACTGATCGGCGATTGCGGGGGGAGGATGAGGGAATCCGGGGAACATCTGGAAAAGTGGGTTTGTTGCTCGAGATGGATGTATACCGAAGAGAAGAATGGCAGAAAAGATAGCAGTTGCGGATGGATAGGGAAAGTAAGGGGAAGAAGACGAACAAAAGAGAGAAGGTTAGACGATTCGGAGTGCCTAGCAAAAGTCCCACTTGCTCTCCGTGGATCTTGAGTTTCCCCTCTCGGATGACCCCATTCCTATCCCCGTCTCCTCCCATTCATCCAAGCCATTCCGATGCCTGGTGCATGTACTCCTCACTATTTTCTAGTCACTACCGGGGTTACTGCCTGCGTCGGGAATAATAAGATAACCACATACTGCAGTGTCTACGCGGACCCCCCTCCTCCTCACCACGGAACACGGAAATGCAGTCACCCCTCTTTACCACAATGTAATCATGGATCAATATCCCCTCGAGCTACTCAGCCGTCCTTGGTTAGCCTCCTGCAATCGGTTGGCATCCCGTCAGCCACCCTCTGCAAGCCCGGGCCAGTCAACAACGATACACAGTAGAGGTGGCTGAACTCCATGCCGAGCCGATAGAGAACAGCCAGCCACGGAGCAGCCAGTGCAACCTTGCACTGTAGCCTCGACAGTGTTGGCGTCGGAGCAATGCAGGGGTGTACTGCTCGAATCAATTGATTAGATGAACCATAACCCGTTACGGTTACCGAGACATTTGGATGCCACTGAGGATAATATACATGATTGGTCGAGGGCGGATTTAGCAGGATGCCGAGACATCATCCCAGCAACGGCTGGCTATGCGTTCCATTTGAGGTTGATAGGCGCAGTGACGGCCTATCACAGTAACAGGCAGGTATTGCGCGACACCACTACCAGTGCTGCCACTCGGAAATGGTCCTCATTTAGCCTTTCATGCCATGGCGCATCCTGTCGTGGCCTGTGCGCAATTGAGTTCCGTCTCACTTTAGCTTTTGAAACGTGCAGCCCGCTTCGTAGGAGCTTACACTCGACCACTGGACCGCCCATGTCTAAGCAATTAGACGTATTGATAGACTTCAACTGCATCAAAACATAGATGTGAAGCTGAAGGCGCGAATGGTGATGCAAGAGGCTTGCCGAAGCAACTGTGGCAATGTCAATCGGGAGGACTCGATGCCAGTACAGCGCTAGGACTGATCACGGAAAAGCACCATCCGGGGCTTAGTCGGGGTCTGCTAGGACCTTCATTTCCAGCCAGCAGCAGCTAATCCCGGACGGTCATCCCGCCGGATGGACCTTGCCTATCTTGTTCCATCTTGCAGCATCTACGGACTACCGTACTCCGTAGGGGGTACTTACATGCTGCTCTACGTTCACTTGAGTGCAGAGGCCGTTAAAAGATGGTAGTGATCGGAGAAGAGAATGAGGAGATCGATAGGGAGGACGCAGTAGTGTGGGACTGGATCAGCCGAAGATTCCGATGGAATCGCATCGATACTTCGCCGCCTGTACTTTTTCTCGTGGTTCCCCACTGGCTCCACTAGGCAATTGCAAGTACACAGCATGGGAAGCAGACAACAGCTTTGTGCTCAAACCCCTCGCAGACCCTCTGGATGAAGATCGATCGGCTTAAGCATAAAACATTTGCCACCCCCAGGTCTGTCCAAGTTGATCCTTTTTATCGTCGGTTATGGTAGCCGAAAGTGGGTTACGGAGTATACTGGTAGACAATTCTCAAAGGGGAGCTAGAGGGATGATGTCTATTGTTTGAATCGCTAGAGCAGACAACTGACCAGTTTGGAACCGCCGGAATGGGCTGTCGTCGGTCACTAATCGGTTAGCTATTGGGCTATAGAGCATAGCCCGGCAGAGACTAACTAACGAGCCGATGGCTCTTCATCTAAAGCCTGGTGACATTAACCTAAACCTTCGAGTGTCATATTGCCAGCCAGATGGATGTTGCGGGGATATGTGCCCATTCAGTAGCACCCCGTGATCTTATGGCGCTATGTGCTCTGCACCTAGAAGCTCTGGCAGTTTCGCACGGTCTCGCGACCGGCAGAGAGGCCATTTTAACTATTCATTACTTAATGAATGATCGGCCACAGTGAGGCTAAGAGTGGCTTGTCCTTGCGTACTTTGATGCCTTAGGCATCACGTGATAAACACGGCCGTTCGCCGATCGGGCCATCGGCGATCCATGACTACTGCCTTAGGCGTGTGCAAGAGTTCCTCATAGAGCACATTCAGCTTTCCCAGAAGCCTGGACCCCGTTGCTTATGAAGATGTGAGCCATGGTAGAGACATGCCAGAAGTAGGCAGCCGATGGGGTTACATGATGGCATGGTCTACGTCACCACCCGAGCATCCAGACCCTGCCGGTTTATAAATGGCTTACCATGTACAACCCTGGATGACATATGCTGGATTTAATGGCAACTGCTGTTAAAATGAACGGCTTGTCCAGGTGCTTGGGAAGACATATCACTCAACACGCGAAAACACCTTTCTTCAGGAAGTGCAATACGACCCCACTACGTCTTTCTGGCGTTCATCTCCGAAGATACTCAGACAAGAGCTCAAAATACAACGGCAACATGACTACTCAACCTCCCAAGAACGAGATGGTGTACATGCCAGGGGTAATGTCACCGAGTCGATCGTTTGGCGTATTCCGTAAGGTCCTTCACACTGGTCTGTACTCGCAATTTGTGGCGATGGAAGTCCCGGTCAACGGCGAAATTGGTGACGAGGTAAGCTATTCTTCCCACGAACGACTATTGTGATTTATGGAATATTAACTATGACTTCCAGATTCATACCGTCGATCAAGTGTTGATATTCACCCATGGCACTGGCAAGGCAATCGTTGCTGGGAAGGAACAAGAGGTCAAACAGAACGATGTCGTCATAGTCCCGGCTGGCACTCAACACCAGTTTTTGAATATCGGAAACACGCCACTCGAAGTCGTCACCATATACTCCCCGGCTGAACATGACCCGCGTACAGTACATCAAACCAAGGCAGAGGGCGATGCACAGGAAGAGGCTGGCGAGGATGAAGCACCCGAGTGGAGTCAACGGAGCAAGTCGGAGAACGAGAAGATTGGGCTGGTCAAGCCGCCATAAGCAGGGAACGGTATATGTTCAAACGATCAGTCGGATGTAGCTACTCGGAGTCTATGTTCTTGTGAACAATTGGCTGAGATGATTGTAACACACGGTGCCACGTCGACATCAGCGTAGTCAGACGGAGCCTAAACAGTTCTAATCGAAATCGATCCAGTACCTTGGAGTTCCAGAGCCTGATATAGGGGCTGAGTCTGAATATTATCTGATGCTGGAGTCGCCGAGAATCCGGGTCGGTAATCATAGACGTAGACAATGCTGTTTTTTTTTTTTTTTTTTTTTTTTTTTTTTTTTTTTTTTTTTTTTTTTTTTTTTTTTTTTTTTTTTTTTT